GATGAAATACTACCCAAAATGAAGTACAGATTCAACTCAATCCTTGTGAAAATTCCAACAGTCTTCTTTGCAGAACTGGAAAAGCCAGTCCTCAAATTCATATGGAATTGTAAGGGGCCCGAACAGCCAAAACAATCTTTAAAAAGGAGGACAAAGTTAGAGAACTCCCACACTTCTCAATTTCATAACTTATTACAAAGTCACAATAATCAAAACAGTGTGGTGCTGTCATAAGCATAGACATATAGACCAGTGGAATGCAATTGAGTCCAGAAATAAATGCATGTATCTATGGTCAATTGATTTTTTTTTTTTTTTTTTTTGTCTTTTTTGTGACCGGTAAGGGGAATGCAACCCTTGGCTTGGTGTCGTCTTCACCGCGCTCAGCCAGTGAGCACACCAGCCATCCCTGTATAGGATCCGAACCCGCGGCGGGAGCACCACTGTGCTCCCAGTGCTGTACTCTCCTGAGTGCGCCACGGGTTCGGCCCTGGTCAATTGATTTTTAACAAATGTGCTAAGTCCATTAAATGGGGGAAGGAATACTCTCTTCAACAGATGTGCTGGGATAACTGGATATCCACATGCAAAAAAAAAATAAGTTGGTTAACTGCCTCACACCATATACAAAAGTTAACTCAAAATGGATCAACCACCTAAATGTGAGAGCTACGAATATAAAACTCTTAAAAGACCTTGGATTTGACAGTGGATGCTTAGGAATGACACCAAAAGTAGAAGGAAAAACAGCAACAAAAATAAATAAATTGGAATTTATCAAAATAAAAACTTGTGTGCATTGTATCAAAGGACATTATTGAGAAAGTCCGATGAAAGAAAATATTTAATATAAAACTCTTAAAAGACCTTGGATTTGACAGTGGATGCTTAGGAATGACACCAAAAGTGGAAGGAAAAACAGCAACAAAAATAAATAAATTGGAATTTATCAAAATAAAAACTTGTGTGCATTGTATCAAAGGACATTATTGAGAAAGTGAAGACAGCTCGATGAAAGAAAATATTTGCAAATCATATATCTGATTACAATTTAATATCCACTTTTATAAAGAACTCCTACAACCCAACAACAAAGAAAACCCAATAAAAAACAGGCAAAGGGCCTTAATAGACATTTCTCCAAATAAGATATACAAATGGCCAATATCCACATGAAAAGATGCTCAACATCATTAGTCATTAGGGAAATGCAACTTAAAACCAAAATGAGGTACCACTTTATACTTATTAGGATGGCTAAAATTAAAAAGAAAGAAACATAAAATAAGTGTTGACAAGGATGTAGAGAAATTGGAACCCTCATACATTGCTTGTGGGCATATAAAATGATATAGCCACTTTTGAAAACAATTTGGTGGTTCCTCAAAAGGTAAGCATAGAACCACCATATGACCCAGCAATTCCACTCCTAGGTATGTATATCTCAAATATTTGAAAGCAGATACTTTGGATACTTTACACCAGAGTTCACTGAAGTATTATTACAGTAGTCAAAAGGTGGGAACAGCTCAAGTGTTCATCAACAGACGGATAAACAACATACTATATACATATAACGGAATATCATTCAGCCATAAAAAGGAATGAAATTCTGATACATACTACAACAGGGCTGAATCTTGAAAACCTTGTGCTAAATGAAAGAAACCAGACACAAAAGGACAAATATTGTATGAATCCACTTATATGAAATATATAGAATAGGCAAATTCATGGAGACAGAAAGTAGAATGAGGTTACCAGGGTCTACAGTTGAGGGGTGGGGTGGGACAGGGAATTAATTCTTAATGGTTACAGAATTTTTCTTTGAGATGATAAAAAAATTTCAGAAATACATATTGGTAATGTTTGTACAACATTTCAAATGTAATTAATGCTACTGAATTATACACTTACAATGGTTAAAATGGAAAATTTTGATATATATGTTTTACCGCTTAAAAAATAGTAGCATAATATACCAGTAACCAAAATAATTGCATTTTCCACGTTAAGTGGGTGAATTATATGGTATGTGAATTATGTCTCGATAAAAATTTTGTTGATAAAAAGAATGTTTTCCAATTGTTATATGCTACTAGATTGCTTTGTGAGTTTTTGTTTGTTTGTCTTTTTACGCTATTGCGTTAGGTTTCTAGGGCTGCTGTTACAAAGTACCACAAAGTGGGTGACTAAAAAAGCAGAAATGTATTGTTTCAGTTCTGGAGGCTAGAAGTTCAGAGTCAAGGAGTTGGAAGGGTTGGCTTCTGGTGGTTGCTGGCCATCTTTGGTGTTGCTTGACTTATAGATGCACCACCACCATCTTTGCCCTCATGTTCACATGGGTTCCCGCTGCGGGCGTGTCTCAGTGTCCAAATTTCTCCTCTTTATAAAACATAATCATAATTTGAAAAATATTGAATACATGTACATTTAATCTTCCCTTTCAAGTACCTGTTATTTTTCTATATTGTTTCAAGTCTTTTGTATCTTTTATCAAGACTTGCAGTTTTTTTTTTGGGCCGGCCCCGTGGCGCACTCGGGAAAGTGCAGCGCTGGGAGCGCAGTGATGCTCTCGCCGTGGGTTCGGATCCTATATAGGAATGGCTGGTGAGTCACCCCAGTATGGGTGACACCACACCAAGGGTTGAGATCCCCTTACCGGTCACGAAAAAGAGAAACAAAAAACAAAAAAAAAAGACTTGCAGTTTTTTAATATAAATCAGAGAAATTTCTCACTATTATTCTTCTTCATGTATGTATGTATATTACTGTATGGTGTTTTCTTGTTTTTGATATTAACAATGAATATTTTTATTATGTTTTCTTATTGCTTATTCTAATATCTGAAAGTATTGATTTGTGTTTATCTTATATACTATTGTTTTACTCAACTATCAATTCTCAGATTCACTTGTATTTTCTGTGTGAACAATTAAATAGAAATGATAATGATGTTATCACTTTTGTTTATAGTATTCATTTCTTTTAACTATTTTACATATTGGTTAGTATCTAAAGTTAATATTACGTAAGAGTGATCATGGAAGATATCCTTTTTGCTGCTGTTATTCCTGAATTTACTGGATATACTTCTGATGTTTCACCTTTAATTATTATTTTGTCTCATAGTTTGAAATGGATACTTTTTTACATTAGAAGTATTACCATCTTTTTTATGGTTATATTGTGGGACTTGGGGTAGTATTTGGAATTATTATTGGATCAAATAATATTTGATCAAATATTTATCAAATACTTTTGGGCAGGTGTATCTATTGAGATTATCATTTGAATTTTAAAATTTAATATTTTAAAATAATGCATTTTATTTTACACATTAATAAGTTTGCTAATATTAAATTACCTTCAATTCCTGCAATAAAGCCTATTATTTTGTGGTAGCTTGTTCTCTTTAAATTTTGTCAGTATTTTATTAGTCTTTTTACATTCTTTTCAGTAAGTGATGTGCATCTGTAACTTTAATTGGTAATATGTTTGTTAGGTTTTGATTTCAAGGGAAGTTTTTCTTTAAAATTTCTTGTAACATGCTGCTGCCATCCCAAAAGCCAAACTAAACAGAACAGCAAACTAAAAGTGTTCTTTAGGTGATTAGAAAAATGAAAGAGTAGTGTAGGTCAGTGGTCAGTAATGCAGATGTCAGTTTAGGCATCATTTCCATAGAGATGCTTAAGAGCAAGAATCTGACTTGCTCTGGTTCTTCCAAATTTAGGCAGAGTTTTGCATGCCAGGCTACCTCAGAAACCACTGCACAATCTGGATCTGGCACATGATAAGTATTTCTTAAGTAAATGGTTAAACATTGCAGTGGATACCCCAGTGCTGTTTGGCCCACATTGATTTCTTTGTTCTTTCGTAATTATGTACCTTAGATGTGAAGGAGCCAGCATATTTTTCTTCCAGCTTTAAATCAAATGCCTTTACCAGTTTTTCAACCCTTATGACTGACTTCAAAAAAGGACACAGTGTCCCTCCATATCTTGATTCTTGAAGGAGCCAGCATATTTTTCTTCCAGCTTTAAATCAAATGCCTTTACCAGTTTTTCAACCTTTATGACTGACTTCAAAAAAGGACACAGTGTCCCTCCATATCTTGATTCCTTGTTGTCACTAAACATAAGCCTAGAGGTTCTATTAGTTTTAAAAGTTTTATTGCTGATCACTTGGGGAAACAGATAGGATATAACAAATTAATGTCATTTGGAAAGTAACAGACCTCAGGATATCTTACAATCATAATCTCTAGTCCGTATGTTTTTGTTTACCCTTTAAGCGGTGCCTGGAAGAACCTTTAGACTTTACATTTTCTTTTCTGTCTTGTTACTAAGAGGATATTTCAGCCTAATTTCTAAGAAGGGGGATTTCAACCAAATTTCTCCTCCTCCTTAATGTCCTACCTAAAAGTGCATAGACATACTATTTTTTTCTAACGTGGATATGAAGATGTTAGTTTAGACCTTTGTCATTTCTCTCTGGACTATTGCAAAAGCTCCCTGTCTTTTCTTTTTTAGATCCCAGCTCTATCATTCCCCCCCACCCTCTGCCATTTTAATCCTTTAAGAACACAAATATGCTTAAAACTTTTTATTGGTTCCTCATCAGATAGAGTATGCAGTTAGATTTTCCCTCACTCCATACACCAACAATAATTCCAAATAAATTAGAAATTTAAAAGTAAAACAAGAACTCATATAACTACCAGCAGAAAGTTCAGATAAATATGTAATTTTGGTGTGAGAAGACTTTTAAACAAAGAACAACAAAGACACAGATAGTAAACAATGTAAACTGAGGGAAGTATTTGCAATATATGGCAGACAAAAAGTTAATAGCCTTAATACAGATCGAGTATTGTTTTTGTGTGATAATATACAAAAATAATATGCAGTTATATGAACAGTGCTTTATGTTACAGACAGGAGTTATTGATATCTTATTATTTTTGTAGATGAACTAATCTTTTATTATTATGTCTATAGCAAAAACAGATTAGTTACTCACCAGGGGTATGCAGCATAGAGCACCAGCAAGAGATAACCAAACTAAAGACTGACTTGGAAAAGAAAAGTATCTTTTATGAAGAAGAATTATCTAAAAGAGAAGGAATACATGCAAATGAAATAAAAAATCTGAAGAAAGAACTGCACGATTCAGAAGGCCAGCAACTTGCTCTAAACAAAGAGATTATGATTTTAAAAGACAAATTGGAAAAAACGAGGAGAGAGAGGTAAGAATCAAGTTATTTGCTCATCCAATAGATATTTATTATTGTCAGGTAATCAAGATACATAGGCAAGAAACACATCCTAGTCCTCAAGGAGACCAAAGTCAAGATTGGTAAATAGGAAATTATAATACAGCATGATAAGAAAGCAAATGGGATAAATATTTAAGCATGTGTAGGAGAGGCACAAAGTGTAACTTTTGGTACATCTAAGCTTTCTGGACAAAATTACGTCTCAGTTGAGACCTAAGAAATAAGAAAGAAGTAGTTGGGAAGAGTGTCCAGGCAGAGACAGCAGAATGTGCTGAGGTCTAAAGGAAAAGGAGAGTATTGCACATTCAGAAAATGAAAGCTGTTTGTTATGGCAGAAGTGTATATAGAAAAATGGGAGTGGTGAGGAATGAGGCTGGAAAGGAAAATAGAGGCAGGTTTGTGAAGGAGTGTAAGGCGATTGCACTTATCCGAAGGCCACTGAATGAAGGTGACCTGATTATTTTTTTTATTTTTGAATTGTCGCTCTTGCTGCTGTGTGGAGAATGGATTGGGAGGAGCAGACTGGAGGTAGGAATCCAACTGTGGGCAATGAGGTGGTGGACCTCAGATGATGATGGTGAAGATGGAGAGAAGTGGAAGGTGGTTGGATTCTGGTCTGCTGAGAAGACAGAGGCTGGAGGATGTAATGACCAGCTCAGCTGCGAGAGATGAGGGAGCAGGAGAAATGATGGTGCTCAGGTTTCTAGATTTCAGGGAATTGGGTATATGTTTTTGTCATAGTCAACTTTTTTTTGTTTGGATGGCTAGCCAGTACGGGGATCCAGTCATTGTCAACTTATATTGGAAACCCGAGTTTATAAAATTTGGTGCATTCATTTACTCAACAAAACTTTTTTTCTACTGTGTGTAAAGAAAGCACTGTTGTAGGTACTGGGAAAATAGCAGTAAACAAAAGCCCTGTTCTTGTGGAGCTCTCCTTTAATAAGGTGAAAGCCAACAAAGTAAATAAGTATAGAATATATTAGGGAATGATAAATGCTAAGAACAAAAAATAAAGCAGGGGATGGGGGCTACAAGGCAGTGAGGATGACCAGGGAAAATTATACTGAGAAGGTGACTTCTCAGTAAAGACTGAGGAAGGTGAGGGAGGTGTTTATACAGACTTATGAGAAGAGCATTCTACAAGTCTGTTCAAAAAATAGTGAGGAGGCCAGTGCTGCTGAAATGCAGTTAAGGGGTAACAATAGCAGAGATGAGTCGAGGGGCCAGATCATGTAAAGTCGTATAAGTCTTTTTTGGTTGACTTATAGTTGTTTGCTCCGAGTAAAACCATTGCAGGGAATTATTGCAGGATATTGAGAGAAAAGTAAGAAGTACTGACTTGTGTTTTAACAGGATTATTCTGACTACTGGGTTAAGAAGAGTCTGAGTTTGAATTAGGTAAGAGGAAAAGCAGCGAGGCCACTTAAAAGGCTGTTGCAATAATCCAGGCAGAAGATGGTGGTGGTTGGGCCTCAGGTGGTGAAAAAAAGGATAGTTAGAAATGTTAAACTTTTAATGTTCTTAGAAAGTAAAAATAATGGTATTTGTTGATGACCTAGATATGGGATGAGAGGGAAGGAGGAAGAGTCAAGGACGCTACTCAGGTTTTTGGTCCAAGCAATTGGGAGAATATAGTAACTGTTTAGAGAGAAAGACTCCAGGAAAGTTTGGGATGGGAGTATTATCAAGAACTCATTTTAAATAGTTAAGTTAGAGATGCCAAGTAGGCTGATATATAGACCAGCCTGGATTTCAGAGCCAGAGATAAAATCCTCAAGTATTTAATCACTTACATGATATTTAAAGCTGTGAAACTGGATGGAGATCACTTAGTGAATGAGTGTAGACAGAAAGGTGGTCTTAGAGCTGAGCCTGTGCACCTAATATTTAAAAGTTGAGAGATGAGAAAGAACCAGCAAAGTGGATAGAGAAAGAGCAGCAAGAGGGATGAGAAGAAAACCAGGCAAATTTGGGTGTCCTGGAAACCAAGTGAAGAAAGTATATCAAATCTGTTAACATGTCGGTTAAGTCTGAGTCAGGTAGGGTAAGGACTAAATAATGGTATTTGAGTTTAGCAACGTGAAGGTTATTGGTGAATTTGGTAAGAACAGTTTCAGTGGAAGAATTAGGGCAAAGACCTGTGTAGAGCTATGCTAATTGGCTAGGTTAACTGTCAGAATCCTGCTGATGTAGCCAATTGTATGGTTAGGCAGTTCATAACTAAAGCGAAAATGTTTCATTATTTTAGTTACACTAAGTTTTCCATTTGTATTGTCAGGGCTAGGGCTCACAGACCCTTCAAATGCGTTGTACCCACTGGGTCACCAAACCCCTCATATGCCTGGCTGGATCACCAGACCCCTCACACGCAGGTACATGAGCTAGGTAATAGGGGAAGATCCTGGTAGTTGTTGGCAGACAACACGAGCTCAGTCCTCAGCTTCCTCAGCTGCAGCAGCAGTGGCAGTGGTCCCTCAGGGCATTCCGGGGTCCCTGGCAGCAACAGGTTGCAGCAAACTCCAGCAACAGCGGCCTCCCTGTGGCTCCCCTGGGGCATCCTGGGGGGTGGGGGTGGGGATGGGGGCCTGTGGATCAGAGCCACTCGTCCTTTATACTTAAGTCAGATAACCCAGGAACACCTGAGTGCATATGCAGTTACATTAGACAATAACCTAGGAACACCCAAGCACACATGCTTATTTATATCAAATGCTTGGCAAGCCTCCAAACCCCCGAGGAACCCTACACTTTCCCTACAACCTGACAGTGGCATCAAAGGAGACATAAAGGAAGGAGAGTAACTGGAGACAGAGTATGACAGGTAACACTGTTACTTGGAGTTATTTATTGCTGAAACAAGCAGTGAAATCAGGTAGTTGCTGGAGGACAAATCCATCTCATAGAAGTTATTTTGCTCTGTGTTGTTTTTTGTTTTAAGATAGGAGAAATAACAGCACACTTGTAATGTGATAGAAAGTATCCAACAGATGATTCAGGAGAGAGAGGAGAGAAGGACTGGAGCAGTGTACTTGGTGAAGTTCGTAATGAAGGGATTGGCCTTACTCAGTCCTGCAGTTTTGTTTTGTTTTTTACTTACAGTAAGAGAAGAACAAGTAGAGTATATGGGCATAGGTGAAGGTAGATAGGGTTGTGGGAACTTGTTTATGTGTTGAGCTGTCTTGTGGAGTTGGGTGTGTTGAATTTGAGGTGATTGGGAGTCACATCTGAAGTTTGAAGCCCACAAAAGCTTCAGATGTAGATCCAAAGTTTATCAGCACAGTACCTGGTAGTGTAGCTGATGCAATACTTCAGGGAGAAGGTAGAGAGAGAGGAGAGATGAGCACCTGTATTTAATCTTTTATTTTATCTCCCTTGGCCTAACACTCTTAGGTTCATTCTTATATGCTGCTCATACTCCTTCCAATACAAGATAACAAAATTCTTTAGCTCCTTCATTGTGTAAGTCCTCTCCTTCACTTCTGTACCTGGTCTATGCTGGGATCTCTACTCTTATCATGGGCCTAAAGACAGTGACAAGTGATTGGATGGTTGTTAATTGTCCATCTCCCTTTTGAGGTAACTATTTCAGGTAAAGTTAATGAAAGATTTATGCAAAGAGAGGCTGGTTACCTCAGGTTATAGAGGCTGTGGGGGAAGGGATGAGGCGACTCCTACCTGCAAGGAAGGTTCAAAGGTCCAGAATTCTCAGCCTTATCCAAAGGTCCCCATCCCATGTCTCAAGGCTCCACTCATTTCAAATCTGTGTCCTTAACGTAGTCTAGGAGATATGGTCAGTGTTGTGCAGATAACATTTTGTGCCTCCTGATGGGGATGCACTGAGAAGAGCGTAGAATCATTCTTGTGGTAGTCCAGCCAAGAATGCACTCTTCGAGTCTGGTCATAAACACCAAATGGAACCAGGTTGAGTGTCACCGTACACAATGAGGAGAGTCATATGCATGTTTCTCAATTGGATCCTGGACTAGATAAGAAAAGGAGACATGTTGGTGTAGTTGGCGAAACTTGAACTGGGTCTGTGGACCTGGATGGTAGTGTTCCGGCTATGCTGATATTTCTTATTTAGAGGGTTGCTTAGTGGTGTGGCAGAGAGTGTCCTTAACTTTGGCAACTACACACTGGAGTATTTAAGGGTAATAAGGCATAATATCTTCAGCTGCCCCATTTCTTATTTAGAGGGTTGCTTAGTGGTGTGGCAGAGAGTGTCCTTAACTTTGGCAACTACCCACTGGAGTATTTAAGGGTAATAAGGCATAATATCTTCAGCTGCCCTTTTAATGGTTCTGAAGACGACTAATGAAATCAGTTCACACACACGCACACGCACACAGTAATGGAGCAAATGTAGTAAAGCGTTACAATTGGGAATCTGGTGAAGAAGAAACTATTTTTGTAACTTTTCTGTAAAATTAAAATTAATTCAAAGCAAATCAAAAATATATATAAATATTAAATTCAGATACAAATTAATTTCTAATTACAAACAAATATTTTGGAATACTATTCTTAATAACATTAGTAAGTCTAGAAGTGACTCTGGCCTAATCTTAAATAAGGGCCCATGACTTTGTATTTTTAAGAACGTTGAGGTGCAAATATACAAAGAAAAGTGTGTAATTTGGTTTCATACTAACTTATCTATGGATAAAACAAAAGGAGTGTGAAGCAGATGGCAATTATTATTTTCATTTTGGTGCTTATTTCATTAACCTAGTTGAGACCTTCTCTGAGTGTGTAATCTAAATTAGCCACCCCCTCCCAGATCATATTTATGGCATTACCATATTTTATTTTCTCTATAGAACTTACCTGAAATTAGTTCATTTACTCGCTTTTCATTGCTGGCCCCTCCACTGGAATGTAAGCTCCCTGAAGGCAGGACCTATCCTTATGGCCTACAACAACTGCTTGGCACCTAGTAGGCATGCCAGAAATATTTGTTAAGTGAATATTTGTCAAATGAATGCTGAAAAAATCAGCATAATTTTTTTGTAAATTTTGGAAAGTTTTCATCAGGCCTGTCATTGCATATAACCATGTTGTATTCTATGTGAATAATGTTCCTGGAGTTCAATCTGATATTTTTCTATTATGTAACTATTACAAAAATAATTTCTTTCAAGTTTTCAGGTGACCTTTAATTCAGTTCCTTTTTTTTTTCCTTTTATGTTTTGAATTGTTAGTCAAAGTGAAAGGGAAGAATTTGAAAATGAATTTAAACAACAGTATGAACGAGAAAAAGTGTTGTTAACTGAAGAAAATAAAAAGCTGACAAGTGAACTTGATAAGGTGAGCGATTCAATATCATTTATATTAATTGAGCGCATGCTAGATGTTCATTATTGTGATAGGAATTATGGTATAATTTTATATTTGATGTACATTTTTGTTTTAATAGTCCTCCTGATAAGCTATGATTGCTTGTATGATACAGTCAATTTTTCATTATACCAATCTGTGACAGGAGTCCTCTGAAGAGAGAGTTTTGCTTATCTCATCTTATTCTTTGTCCCATTTATTTTTTGAGCCTCTATTCATCTCGGTTACCATCTATGCTCTTTTTCACTCTTTTCTCTCACATTCATCACTTACCCTGTTATGGGTGGCTGAGTTTCTGGGTGGCTGAGTTTCTGGCTGGCTAAGTTCAGGCTGGCTCTTGGTGTGAGCATGAACAATTAGGCCAACCTTGGAGAGATTATAACAACTATTATTTCATATTCACAATGGAGAACTGATGATAACTAGAAATGATACCAGGGGTAGGTCTTAAACCAAAGAAACCAACTTTGCCTAAACTCTAGCTTGAATAAAGAGAACTGTGTATTGTCCTTGTAAATAGCCACATTTATGAACAAAATTTCAAATACTTAAAGGAATTTTTTTCCATTTACTATTTCAGATTTCCCAAACTGCCACTGTCCTGTATTTCTTGTGCCAATTCCTAACAAACAGTTGTAAAAATCCTAATATTGACCAGAAATTTTAATAATTCTATTTATATTTAAATAAGAAGGGCTAGATAATTACTTTTTATAATGATTTCTAAGATTTTCATCCAATACAAGTATTATGTTCAATTATTAGTCATTCCAATAACAGATTGAAAGACCATGATTAAATAGTCATAAGATAGAGTCTCTACATTCTTTTTCAACTTTCCATTATTTTCTGAATAGCTTTCTACTTCTCTCACTACTTTCCCCATGATTATTTAGCATTTAAAAAATCCTAAATAGCCATTGAAGGCATTTAAAGATGACTTTGCTTGTTTGGTGGAAAACTACTTGAGAAACAATGCTTATAGTTCATTTTGTAAAGTCTTATAAAGCTAGCATACAAAGACATTGTGGAAGGTAGCTGAAATAGTAAGTAGCATAAATGAATTTTTTAAACCGTGAATAGTGTATGAACTTTATTGTATAACTCTTAGTTATTTCTGCTAAAATAACTTTCTGCTATTTTATCTTTATCCAAATAGGTCACATAATTGTTATCTCATGTGTTTGACTAATATGACTACAAAATTTAATGTCGTTTCTGTCTACAAAACAGAATTTTAAGATTTTAAGCACTAACAAAATCTTGGTTTAAAAAAAAAAAAATATATATATATATATATATATATATATGTAATTAAACCCTAAAAGGCCACTTGATGTAGAATTACTCAGCAAATTACCTGGTAAAAGATGTTATTACAGTTTAAGAAAAATTATATTGGAAAATAGTCAAACTGAATAACTGAATGTTGGTCAGATTTTGCATTCAACCCTGTTTTGATTTCATTATTAGCCAAAAAGTTCTGCTGAGTTTACCAAAAATATATATTTAGAAGAATATTTTAAAAATACTCTTTTGATTAAAGTTGTATCATTATCTTACTTAGGCCTAGTGCACACAGTGAAGCCTCCTTGATGAGGCCTGAGGGATAGTATATAAAAAACAAAACATTTCCTTTTCTTGCTAAATTGAAAGATATGACATAGGATATGAATAGCACTTGGAGAGCAAATTCATATAGTAGGCAAGTATTTAATGACAAATGATTACAGGGAAATATTAATTCCTCAAGAAGTAGGGGAAGACCTGGGATCTGTGTTTCTATTTGAACCTCTGCTCTGTTTCTCATCCTTTCTTTCAGTTTTTGCTTCTTTCTCTCCTTAACTCTCAGTGTTCGCTCTTTCCATTTATTTATTTTCCAGTTTGGTTTGAATTATGTATTTTCTCCAAGAAAGATAACCAACAAATGGATTTACCATTGCTGCACTAACTGTTCCATTGGGAACCAGCTCGAAGAGAACTGGATTTTATCACAACAGAATTTCAGATATAGAAACAAGAAAGCAATTATGAGGTTAATATTGAAGATTATATAAAGATACTCAGTTTTAAGCTCCAAAAATAAAAGTTAAAAAAGAAAAAAAAATTGGATGATATTTTCAGAAGTCTATAAGCTCCACTTTTTATTAAAAGAGAACTTATTGCAAATAAAATTAGCCGTGTATGCCAGGGAATTAAATTGAATGGTTTACAGTAACTTGTATCTTGTTTTTAAGTTATTTCACCAAAAAAAGGCAACATTACAAAAAATGTGGAAAATATTTGACATGAAAGTTACCCATAATCTCATCACCACAAAACAGGTATTTTAATTTTGTATGTTCCTGTCCAGGTTTTGCTGTATTCATATTATTCTATAATTGCAGTCATGTGAACATTCTGCTTACTAATCTGCCTTTTCACTTAAAGCATTTTTCCATATTCCTATATAATCTTATATTTACTTTAGGCATGTCAGTGTACAAATAGTAAAACCTCATTTCCAAACTTGGAAAATGAGCAAGTCGATTGAATTTACTATGTGCAGGTCCTCTTCTGAGTTTTGTATAACTCATTTAATGTTCACAATAACTCTTTAGGTTATACCCTTTTATTCTTGCCATTTTATAGATGAAGAAACTGAGGCAAAGAAGGGTTGAGCTACTTTCCTAATCACAGAACTAGGAAGTGGCGGAATGGGAGTTGAATACAGGTATCCTGGCTCCCAGAGTCCATGCTTTTATTTGGTAATAATGAAGAGGTTAGCTTTTCTTGACCAATACTAAACAGATGAAGAAATCTTTTTAAAATTACTTGTGACTGTTGTGCTATAGCCGTTCAAAGTGTGCATTTTCTTCCTCCTCTTGCAAATCTTCACCTAGTATCTCATCCACAAATTAGGTGGGAGGGCTGCCAAAAGTAGTGGCAATCAAAAAAGAATTAATTGCAGGAATTAGTGAAGAGAAGATGCTGTTTGTGCAACTCTCAGAAATGGCTGATAGGTTTCTGGCTATTAAGAGATTGACGAATCCCCTCCAAAAAAAAAAAAAAAAAGTTAAAAAATAAACATAGATGTTCACAAAAAGAACCATTTCAGAGCTCTTGAAATTAACAAGAAAAAGACAACTACAAAACATTGCTGAGATAAATTAAGTGATACCTGAACAAATGGAGAGATATACTATGTTAATGGATTGGAAGACTCAATATTGTTAGGATAGCAGTTCTCCTCAGATTGATCTATAGGTTCAGTGATATCCCTATCAAAATTCTGGTAGGCTTTCTTGTTGGAATTGAAGAACTTACACTTAAATTTATATGGGAATACAAAAGAACTAGAACAGTTAAAATATTGGGGGGAAAAACCCTAAAAGCTGGAAGATTTACACTATGTAAATTTAATACTTACAAATATACAATAATCAAAAAATATAGTATTGGCTTAATGGAACAGAACAAAGAGTTCTAAAATAAGCCCTCACATTTATGGTCAATTGGTTTTCAACAAAAGTGCCAAAGCAACTCAGTGGGAAAAGGTTAATCTGTTCATGTGAAACTGGAACAATCTCTGTACAAAACAAACAAAAAAAGAGCTTACTTCACGTCATACCTTATACAAAAAATTAACTCAAAGTAGATCATAAACTGAAATATGAGGTAAGTGTAGTTAGAAGAAAACCTTTGTGATTTGTGATTAAGGATTTCTTAGATGTGACATTAAAATCACAACTTGTGAGAGAAAAATAATGGTAAATTGGACTTCATCAAAATTTGAAAAAAATTAAGAAAATAAAGAGACATGCACAGATGGGGAGGAAATATCTCCAAGTTATTTATCTGATAAAAGACTTGTACTTATATAACTACTCTTGAAACTCGAAAATAAGCAATCCAAACAATCCAGTTTTTTTAAATAGGTAAAATAATTGAATAAACATTTCATGAAATATATATGAATAGCAAATAAGATGAAAAAGTGTTCAATGTCAGGAAAATGCAACTTAAATCCACTGTGAGCTGCTGCTCTGCACTCTCAAGAATGGCTATAATCAATAAGAGAAACCATGCCAACTATTGGAAGGGGTATAGAGGAATGGGAACTTACACATTGCTCATGGAAGTATAAAGTGGTATAGCCACTGTAGAAAATAGTTTCAAAAATTCTCAAAAACTTTACATACACTTATTATACAACCCAGCAATTCTTACAGATATTTACCCAAAAGAATTAAGAACATAGTTTCCTTAAAAGACGTTTTTAGGGCCGGCCCGGTGGCGCACTGCTACAGTGCGCCGCTTGGGAAGCGCAGTGGCGCTCCCGCCGAGGGTTCGGATCCCACATACAGACCGGCTGCTCACTGGCTGAGCGAGGTGCGGGGGCAACACCGAGGGTTGCGATCCCGTTGCCGGTCCCAGTCCGGTACGGGCGCGACACTGAGGGCTGCGATCCATTGCCGGTCACAAAAAAACAGACAAAAAGGAAAAAAAAAAAAGACGTTTTTATAGCATCATTTTTGTAATAATAAACAACTGGAAACAATGAAAATTTTCATAAACTGGTGAACAGAAAAGCAGAGTATATCATATCTGTATAATAGAATACTACTCAGCAATAAAAAGGAGTGAACTTATGATACATGCAATATTATTGAGGTTCAACCTCAATCATATAAGTGAAAAAGAAGCTGATATAAAAGACTACATGTTATATGATTTTATTGATATGAAATTTCTAGAAAAGGTAAATCTAAAGACAGAGAAAGCAGATCAGTGATGCCTGGAACTCAAGGTGGGAGCCAGAATCAACTGTAAACAGGCAGGGGGGAATTTCCCAAGTATTGGAAGTATTCGAGAACTGGATTGTAACAATCATTGAACAACTGTTTAAATTTGCTAAAAAGCATTGAACTGTGCACTTATCATGGGTGAATTTTGTGTTATGTAAATTGTACCTCAATAAAACTATTTAAAAAAGAAAAGGTGGTAAACTAAATTTTCAGAAGTGAATGGCACACCCTGAAGTATAAAACTTAAATCCCATGTTTGTAATAGGTACATGAGGGTGTGTGCTGGCAGTTATAGCTTCTTTGGATTTCGTTTTCTTCTGAGAAGACAAGGCAATTGGAGGTAGAATTAAAAGGGGAATTACAGACAATCTGTGTATCCATAAACGATTTGTTCCTTTGGCAGAAAGGAAGAAATGAAACTTTGCATTTGTGATTTGTGCCAAACGTGCCTATCTTTGCACAGAAGGACAGATTAAAATACAAATACCAAAAACAAACCTGGGTCATAGGAGAATTCATGACAACTTAGAATGCAGCCAACTATGACTTGTGGCCAAATATTGCTGTGGACTGTTTTTGTATGACCCACAAACTAAGAATGATCTTTACATTTTCAAATGGTTATTTTTGTTATGGCCAACGTCCGACGGGTAAAAGAAATTTGCCCACGAGAACCGGGTGATAGGATAAGGAAAAGAGTTTATTTCTGGCAGCCAGGGCTACGCAGGCCAATCGAGAAGTGCAGCCCCGAGTTGAAACCTCTCGCAGCTTTTATTCTTAGCTAGGCGGGAATTTTTCACGCCTGACACAATCTAGCCAATGCAAGCAAGCCAGCGGTACATAAGCTAATTTTGCGGTTAGCCCTGTAGCCCCTCCCCATCCCGGATTCCCCATTTATTTTAGCAAGCGATTTGTACAGAAGCAGAATGCATATGTTAAGGTCAGTAGGGGTTGGGGCTTCCCCTAACATTTTTAAAAAAGAAGAAAAATATGTGATATACCATATGTGACCCAGAAAGGTGAAAATATTTATCTGTTTGTTTTAACTGGAAAAGTTTACAGACCCTTGAATTAGAACATGGTTTCAACCTGTTTAGTTAGTGTTCTTCAGAGAAAAAGAACCAATAGGTTATGTATATATACAGAGACTTATTATAAGAAATTGACTCAAGTGATTATGGAGTCCTCTAAGTAGTTTAATCCCTGATCTTTGTTTAGTCTAATTGTCTGCCAAAAATAAAAGTAAATAGTCCCTAGAGGAAGACATTATCCAGAGCCTCAAATTATCTCTAAAATTTTCATATGCAATGTGTGGCATGCAGTAAAAAATTACCAGGCATACTAGCACACACAAGCAAATCACTGAAAACCAAGAGAAAAAACATAATAGCAAAAACAAAATTAAAAAAGGGAAAAAGAAAAGAAAACCAGACAGTCTATACAAATAGACACACAGGAGTTCCCATTATGGAATTTTCACAAATGGACCTTAAGATAACTATGTCATATGTTCAAGAAAATGGACTTTAAAATAACTATGTGGTATGTAGAAGACATGATGAAGAATTTCAGCAGACAACTGGAATCTATACAAAAGAGTCAACTAGAATATCTAGATGGGAAAAATAAAATAGCCAAAATATCCAAGAGAAAGTTCTAACAGCAGATTGGAAAGGGCCAAAGAAAGGACTGGGTGCGTTTTTAAAAAAAGACTAAATTATGGACAGGGATTAAAAAGTGTAGAAAAAGCAGAAAAGAGAATATGAGACATAGGGGACATGGTGAAAAGATCTAGCTTGCAAATATTTGGTTTCCCAGGAGGAGGAAGAAAGAGACTGTGGCAGAAGGAATATTTGAAGGGTTAATAGCCCATAATTCTCTGAACCTATTTAGAAACTGCCACAAATTAAAGAATTGCCACAAACCCTAAAGGTAATAAGTAGAAATCAAACTCTGCATAGACAAGTCATAGAAGAACTGCCAAAACCCAACAACCAACAAAATCCTAAAAGCAACCAGAGACAAAACATTATATTTAAAAGAGTAAAAGACCGAAAGCTGACTTTCCAACAGGAAACAAACATATTGAATCTAGTAGAAAAGGACTGACATGTTCAAAGTGCTGAATTAAAATAACTGCCAACTTAGAATGTTATGTATAGAAAAATTATCTTTGAAAAGTGGACACAAAAATTCAGAAATTTAGAATACTCTGCATAACAACCTACTTTCTTCAACAAATAAATCATAAGAAAAATAAAAGTGTTGGAAGGAAACCTATAGATAAAGAAGATGTAAAAGACTTATCAAACCATTAAGCTGTGTTTATTTATTGGCATCATGATTCAATTTAACAAACTTAAAATATCTTAAGACATCTTGAAATAACTGGAACTATGTGATATTAGGAAAATTTTGAATTTGTTTAAATATGATGGTGTGGTTATATTTAAAAAGAGAGCCTTATTTTTTAGAGATGCACACAGAAATGTGTATGGATAAAGTTGTAGGATCTCTAGTGTTTGTGTCAGGATAATACAGGAGGACGTAAGAGGACAAGGTTATAAATTAAACAAAATTGGCAAAGTTGGGTGGTGGGCTCATGGGAATTCACTTACACTGTCCGTTTTTGAATTTGCTTGAAATTATAATTTTTTTTTAAAAAACAAAGACATTTTCAGCCAAAAAAAAAAAAAAAAGAGGTGATGTTACCAGCAGATTTGGGCGATCTTCTGGCAAATGGAGAAGAGAGTGTTCACAGAACTGATTCAGTGTAGGGTGCAGGGGAGAAGCAAAGGAAGAATTCAGGGAGTACTTGATAGCATTTGCAAATTCATTCATCAGAAGGGTACGTAATAATAAAAAGACAAGCATTGCTGAGTGGAAGATGGTGACTTACCAGATTGAACAATAGGTATCTGAGCACCTTGAATTCCTGGTCCTAAAATTCGTGCCCATTTAAAACTACCTTTCAGCTTACCACTTTGTATGAGAACTTAAGTTTGCACAACCAGCAGTTAGAAGAAGAGGTAAAAGATCTAGCAGACAAGAAAGAATCAGTTGCACATTGGGAAGCCCAAATCACAGAAATCATTCAGTGGTGAGTACTCTTTTAAATGTGTTTTGTGGCTGATTGTGGACATATGTGTATGACCAAGTTGGTGTGAATTCCAGGAGGCTGCTAACATGTACTTTACCTTATTTGTCTGCTATGAAAGATAAGTTACTGATGTCTTCTTTGTGCTCAACTGTGTTTTCTGTTATGTTCCTCTGTTTCCTAACTCCAACAGATGTGCCATACCAACTTTTACACAGCTTCATTGAAATCTGATATTTCTTTCTGAGAAAAGAAAATGTTATCCTACCTGAAGTCAGAGTTGGTTCTCAGAGAACCGAAGAAACTCATGTGATAGCTATGGATGTTGCTTTCTATAGTCATAACACTGTATTTGTGATTATTATTATTATTATTATTTTTTTGTCTTTTGTCTTTTTCCGTGTCCGGCAACGGATCGCAACCCTCAGTGTTGCCCCCGTACCGGCCCGGGGACCGGCAACGCGATTGCAACCCTCGGTGTTGCTCCCGCGCCTCGCTCAGCCAGTGAGCGGGAACCCGGTCTGTATGTGGGATCCGAACCCTCGGGAGGGAGCACCGCCGCGCTTCCCAAGCGGCGCACTTATCCAGTGCGCCACCGGGCTGGCCCCTATTTGTGATTATTTTAAGAAACAGAAAGCCTGAGAAAAATTTAGAAGCTGAAGATGCTGTTTTGTCACCTTTTCTCCTAATTTTAACAGATTAATTCACACATGGCACTTTAAAAACCTTAAATGATTACAGTTTAATTAACTGTTCCTTCAGCTCTCAGATTTAATTTGGAATATTTATCTTAGTAACCTTCACATTAATTAATTCATTATTAATCATTATGGTGCTTGTAAAAATTACATATTTTTATAATACATGGAGAAAGTAAAATACGAGGACTTTTTTCTAATAAAAATATGTAGCTTAGGGGCTGGCCCGGTGGCGCACTGGATGGTGCGCCGCTTGGGAGGCGCGGCGGCACTCCCGCCCGAGGGTTCGGATCCCACATACAGACCGGCTCCCGCTCACCGGCCGCGCGAGGCGCGGGGGCCAAAACCAGG